TGCGAGGGTAATGTGAGATACATATTTCTAGTAAGATAGTGGACTCTCTATTTATTTGGTTGAAGATCTAAGTGGCAAAGTGGATAAATGGATTTGTAAATCATTTAATTTTTTTAATCTATTATTTTGATACATAAATCTGTTTTAAGTTGTTATTTAAAAAATCTGATGAAAATTTTGATTCCTTTAAGATGGTGAGATGATCAGCGAACATGTCCGACGCAAAACAGACATCACCGAGATGAGGGAACATTTCTTGAAAAAACTGGTGGTAGCATGCTTAGAGAATGACAGTGCTATGAGACCTGGCACAAAGGAAATCAAAAACGTTCTTGAGAGACACAACTTTGAGGCTGCGTGGGTAGTATTGCAATCAAGTGGATTTGAAACTGATGATGAAGTCAGGATTGAGAATGCTGAATGTCAATCATCACCTTATTACAAGCTCAAGGTTTCACTCATTGTTTTGCTCCAGAAAACATCTATACTACCCCTGTGGAGGGTTTATTGGTTTGAAGTCCCCCACCCTCAGGAGATTCCAGTTAAGTTCATAACAATCCTTTAAACCTTTTTGGCTTCTTAAAGACCTTTCACCCCTGCTGCGTATTTCCAGTTACCCTCCATGAACTGAGTATGGATATATTCTGGAACCATTTATTGGTGTCAGGGGAACGGGAGACTTGTTTATTCATTTGTCTCAAGAATCCATTATTTTTGGTATGTTTTGAGCATGACAGCCTTAAGAGAAACCTCATGTGCATATGCGAGCCTACTGTTTTCTGTTTTGTCCATGGCATTTTAAAATTCATTATAGCACATTACCACAAATAAAAAATAAAGGAGAGTAAAACATTCCTGGGAGACTCTGGGCGATTAGTAAATTTATCAGGGGCATCCAACAACTGTATGTTTCCAAATTTGCGTATTGTAAGTCTGATTGGTTAATTTGAAGCTGCCCTAAAAGCTACTCATCTGTTTGGATGTCTTAGCGGAACTTTAGTCCCCTTGAAAGTTTTAGGCTTTTTTCTCTCATTCAAAGTTTTCACTACCCTGAAACCTACGGACGAAAGTTTGAGGATATGGAGTAGCTGTGTTTTCTTCAGAGGATTCTACAGGACATTTTCAGCGGACCTTTTTGAACAATAAATGCAATATCTTGGTCCTAAAGTGTGAATTTAAGCACCACCTCCGAAAATTGTAGGTAAGTTAGTACAAAAACCCTGATTATCGTAGATGAAGAGAATGTTTATCCAGAAAATTTTAGCCTTTCTCGAGCTTTAGAATTTTTTAGGCAATATTTATGCACCTATCAATGTAATGCCGGCGGGGGGGTAGGCAGGGCATAGGGTGGGGATTTGACTTTTTTCAAAAATTTGCGATCAAATTCCCTGCCCACGGGCAAATCATTCCAGTCAAATGCAACCAAATTTCCCCACCCCAGGCTGCACATTGCTGCCAATCCCAAGGCAGAACCTAAGTAAGGCACAATAAAAATATCTCCAAAAAAAACTCTGCAATCTTTTATAAACGTTGCTGCATCACCAAAGATACATGTTCCTGTTACGGCTGCAATTATCCGTTTTAACCATAATCCGTGTTACACTGCGTAGAATACATAAACCTTTAGGAGAAAGTCCACATTTTGTAAGTCTAAATATACCGTTCTTAGTAAAGGGTACAAAGAAAGTCAGTTTTATAAGTTAACAGTGATTGTAGCGAATGATCCATACACTAATCAATTGTACTTGCAAAAATCGACTTGGTTTCTCTTTACTTCCGTTTTCTTTGATACCACAGTATATTAAGAGGTTCAATTGGTCAAAAACACGCTAAAACAAACGAAATTTGAAGGCAAAACAGTGAAATCCACTCAGCCTTCGCTTGTTCTCAATTGCCTCCATTTTTTCCTGATCTTTTCAAACCGTATGGCGCATGCGTGAAGCGTGGAAAAGGGAAACATATGTTCGGTCTCAGTCTTTTTCGTTCGGTTCGGCAGTCAAATATCTCCACGTCGGGCGAAGAAAGATTCAAATATCCCCTCCCCCGGGACAACAAGATCAGTCAAATGCCCTACCCCAGGGACAACAAAGACAATCAAATCCCCACCCCATGCCCTGCCCTCCCCCNCCCCCCCCCCCCCCCCCCCCCCCCCCCGCCGGCTTTACATTGATAGGTGCATTACCCCTTCAAACAGTTATTTTAGAGAGAAAAGTAACTGGGTGCCCCTGATTTCACTAAGGTAAAATTTTACTGTTTATCTTTTGAAACATTTATATATTGGTTGTGTTAGAGACAATCAAAATCTACAAAGACCTGAGAGAATAATTGGAGTTTGCCAACATTGCTTTTTTCATTCTCTAGGTCGTGCTTAATAGTAAAATTAAAGGAGACTTGCCTGTAAGTTGAAGTTTGATTGAGATTCTTCCTGAGTTATAAAGTGCTTGGAGGTTACATGAGATCGCAAGCGCATGTACCAGCTCCGTCTTTTAATGTGAGTGACAGCAGGCACCCACTAAACCAAGGGTGGGTAGAAGGGCATTTAATTTCCCAGCACTCTATAACTAAGTAGAATCTCAATCAAACTTCAACTTACAGGCAAGTCTCATTTAATTTTACCATTCTACCTCGTTATTGTGCTGTGAGATCATATGAGATTTTGAAGCAACATGAGCATTAAGCATAGTCAAAGAAGGTTTTAATTCACGCCAGTGTGTTGCTTACAGTGCTGAGTACTCTTTCAGCAAACATGTTCTCTTCAACGATGGGCTTGTTATAATACTTAGCAAAATGTCGAGTCTGAGGACCAGCCAGCTGTGTGCAAGATATCATCAAGGCTTACTGAGGCACTGTTGGCTGCAGATGTACTGGCAACCCGAGTGCTGTGTGGTTTAAATCTTGAAGTGTCTATTAGTTCACCCAACGGCTTATACTATCTCTACTAACCTTTTCGAAAGGTCTTTTATAGCTAACAAACAACTGGTTTTCTTACCCTCTTAGACACACAGAGTTTTATCATCAAGTGCTTTAAGTTTAACAAGTGGGTTCGTGACCCGTACTCTGCTGAAAAGTGTAACAATTATTCGAAAAAACCATGTGATCTAATAGACACATCCCAAATTTCAGGGGTCCTTAGGTCTTGGAGGTTTTTCCTGGAAAATGTCTTTCATCAGCCTGGACACTAATGGGTGTTTTTCTACACATGTCCCATCCTCTAATGTAATATAACTGGACAATGCACTTCTGGCAGTGTTAATGGCAATGTATGTGAGGCCTTGATGGTATAGTGTTGTAAGAAAGTCAAGGACAGGCACTCGAGATGGTTGAACGTGATTGACTTGCCTCTGATTACAAAAGTTTTGCCATTTTGTGATGCAGGCACTGTTCTGTTTATTTGACCTATTCTGCCGGGAAGCCATGATGAGTCTGGCAGCTGCCTCTGAAATTCCTCTATCCTGGATAGATCGCCAGACAGGAGACATGCCACCATAGTCAGTTTCTTTCTTAAGGGGTGTAGAGAGTAGGGAGAATGTGACAGTAAAAGTAGATTTTGCTACTTTAGCAACACAAGTGGGATTGCAATTATCATTTTCAAAAGTTGTGGCCACCAGACTTGAGTGGGCCACAGTGGTAAATCATGATGCCCTGAGGTACTTGTTCCTCTATAATCTTCTGCAAACGTCTGTGAATTTGACAAAAAGGTCGAAAAGCATTAAAAATACAATGAAGCCCAACTAATAGTAAATGCATCCACAAAACATGAGGCAGGGTCAGGTTTCCTCGAGACAAACCAAGGGAGCTGTGCATTAAGTCTAGTGGCAAATAGGTCAATTTCTGGTTTGCCCCAAATGGTAGTAATTTGTGTACAGATGCCTCTTTTTGGGGTCCACTCAGTTCAGTCATTAAATGACTGTGACTCTTTGTCAGCCTCAATATTTTATACTCCAGCTGTGTTAGTTGCTGTTAACCAGTTATTATTATTTACACACAAATCCCCTGTGGCAAAAGCAATTTGAACGCATGTTGGGGATTTCTTGCCACCCATATCATTAATGTAGGTTACAGCTGTTGAGTTGTCACAGAGAACTTTGACATGCTTATTTTTTAGCCTTTCACCAAAGGCTTGCAAAGCGAAGAAGATCACCTTCAACTCTAACGTGTTGATGTGCAGTTGGCTTTCTGCACTAGACCAGAGGCCTTGGGCGGTGTCACTGACAAGATACATACCCCAGCCTTTTTTTGAAGTATCAGTTCTTACTTCTATGACAGGATTTCCGTGTGATATCGGATTAAAGGCCGTGTCCACATTTTCAATCCACCAAGCGAGTTCTTCTCTGGCGCTTGGGGACAGGGATATGAAAGCCTAATAGTTGCCCTTATGTTCCCTGAGGGCTAAGTTCTTCTCCATTTCTAGGTTTCTGTGATGAAGTCTCCCAAACTGCACTTCGAGCAAGTTAGAGACCAGTGTGCCAATTAATTGGGCCAGCTCCGTGATAGTAGTTTCATGTTTATGTTGCATTGCTTGGCAAATGGCTTTCACTTTAGCTTTTTTCTCATCAGTGAGGTTAATTGTCATTGACACAGCAAGGACAAAGACTAAAAATGTAATTCGCTGGTCTAGAATGACGGATGATTTCTGCATTTATCACAAACCCCAAACGTGTAAACAATGTTTGTGTATCAGAGATATTTAGCAGGCATTCATTGGTGTCTTTACCTTGAAGGTAGGAATCGTCTATGTAACCAACATTTAGGTGACCTTTCTGTCTCAAAGTGGAGTAAACTGGTGTCAATACCTTATTAAAACGCCTAGGGGCTGGTGAAAGCCCATTTGGTATACATGTGTATTGGTAGAGACGACCCTGCCAGTAAAATCTGTAAGATATTGGCGATATTTCGAGTCTTGAGTCGCACAGCCGACCAAAGGGTATCCATTTTGAAATGGTGTTTGTCAATATGCGGTATTGGCCGCTTTTCTTTTTCCTAACAAAAATAGTGGAAATTTATTCATCTGGATTGTGTACAGCAGGCTCAATAACGCCCAATTCAAGCAGGCGAGCAATTTCTGAAGTAATTCTTTCTCTCTCAGTGGGATCAAAATGAATTTCAGGCCGAAGCCTCGATTGAGTTGGATTGCCAATCTCTAAAGGGCAGTGCTTCATAATGTTCAGTATATTTTGGTCTGCTGTAATACTTATCCATGCTGATACAAAATGCCTTAGCCTACCAGCAATTTTTTGTGTTTCATGACTAACCTGCATAAGGTTCGAGCTTAATCGCTCTTCTTCTTCCCCTCCTGTTTCCGTCTGAAGTGGATAGGGGGCTCTGGACGTTTCTTGACTGATTGTTGTTTGTGAGAGCCACCTTTTGGCATGGAAAGAGTAAATGTGGTGTGTCGTTGGCTACTTTTTGAAACGCTATTAGACCTGCCATCTTTGGTAAGCTTGGAGCTTAGGCAGTTTGTGTCTGATATGTCCTTAACAGCCTTAGGGAGATAATCCTTAAACAGCTCGGCTGTGACTGGATTTGACGGGCTGCAAAGGTGTCTGTAATTTGTATTGAGCTGAGGTCTCATCGGCTTTCTCCATCGATAATTTAACTCCCGGTTGGCATTTGCCTGAAAAACTACCCCATCCAAAAGGGCACTTACAGTATCTTCTTTCTGAAGTCCTGAGTTGCCCATTAGCTCACTCACCTCTGACACGACTACTATTATCCCTTTAATTAGGCTTTTCTGCACCTTTCGGAACTTTAAGTCGGTATACCTAGCTGACTCATCTAAGTTGTTCCACACACCTTGATTGACCATTGTCTCTGACAAGATGGTACAATTCTTGGGGGTTTCGCGTTGCTTCTTTAATTCTGTTATTTTCTCTTCATTAGCGTTCTCTCTCATGATTTTACCCGCAAGTGACGCAAGCTTCCCGTCGATGGCGGGCCCCACTTGCTCGGTGAGCTGCAGGGTGTTTGTGAGCTTAGCAATCAGGGGATTGCTGTTCTTTACCGATTCATTCGGTTTCTTTTTCTTAGCGGGTGGCTCGTCCTCGACAAGTGATTCATCGAAGTCCTTAGACACGCTCGAATCACAATCATCACCCGAGTCTTCGTCGCCATTGTCGCCAGAATGTGATGCAATCAAACATCCCAAACCGGCAAAGCCCGCGTTCATTGAATCCCTTAGGCCTTCAAATGAACCCTTGAGAACCAAGAGCTGACGCGTTTAAGATAACAGCAGAACTTCCTTCGTTCGCGTTTGTCCTTCGTGCTTGAGCTGCTGCGGGCCTTTTCCCGCCTTTTTGTGAAGTTTACACACATCATCAGTGCTGGAATCCGCCTTAGACGATTTTTCCTTACCCCTGACCTCGTTAGGTTTTTGTCCTTAGATCAAAAACGTGTTTCGACCCAATCTCGACCCCAGAGCTCTTCTGCGCATGACGGCTACAGAGGAAGAGCTCTGGGGAACCCTTGAACAAGATTGTCTCTGACTGGTTTCAGCAAAAAACAGTTAAGGTGTTTCTGATTGATCCATTCAAGTTTGCACGACAGCGGGTGAACGTGCGGCGTGTCTTGCGTGTGAGCGGGTTGTTGAACGGTAAACACGCCCGGTCGATTCTTGATTGATCAGCGATTCCAAAACAACATTTGCATGACTAATTACTAGGCAGAATAAGTGGATTCCCCAATTTTCAAATAAAATAAAAATACATCGACATCTTTGCCAGCTATAATTTAAGAAGCATGACACAATACTGATTTTACTTCGACCTCCACGTTATCGTATTGACAGGAAGTAGCCGAGTATGAATAAAAACTTAAGCTTCATGTCGTAAATTGCCCGAAAAAACAGACTTGCAAGATAGCAGTAAACAAAAAGTGAATCGTTCTCTGAAGTGATGAGTGTACAATGCGACTAGATATTTATAGTTGTCTTCTGTTTCCCACGATATCGCCTTTCAAAGTAGCTTTACTGAAGCGTTTAATATTCATGAACAAACGTAAATAAAAGGACGCAAAATTCATATTCTCAAAAGTTTTAATGGAATTACCATACGTATATCTTAACAAGTCATTCGGGTTTGACTTACCGCCTCGTGAAGTATGTAGTCCACGCAAATATTTAATCAACTGTCGAGCATATACAAATTTCAAGTCTCAAAATTGTGAACGTTTAACGGTATTTTCTCAGCAGCTACCACAAGAGCCTTGGGTACCTGAAAATTCTTCAAGGCTCCATTTCTTCAGTTCTAATTCCGAAGAAACACGAAACTTCGCAGCGAAGTAGACATAGAGGAAGCAAAAAGTTTTGGTTGGATTAAAAAGCATGCGCTGTGAAGCCCAACTAGCCAGATTTTGGCTACGCCGGCGGAGAGTTTCCCAGAGCTTACGCAAGGAGTCAGAAGCGTAAGCACCGGGGTCGAGATTGGTTTCGACCAAGCACTGGGTTGGCGCATGCGCTTGCGATCTCGTGCGATCTCACAGCACGATAACGAGGCAGAGTGACAATGCTACGAGCTTCATTTTTAGTGTGAACTGGGGAAAAGTGATTTTTTTCCTTGACAGTTATCCTTGACCTCTAAGTTAAAGTATAAGCTAGCTTTTTATTTCAAGGTTCATAAATTTCAGGTTGATCTTTATGTCGCAAATGGTGTGATGATGTGTGATCCTGTTATACACTACTACAGCAAATCTAAGAGGAGCATCACTTGAAAAAAGTGGTTGGCTATTTTGCGAGTCTGCGAGTCAAGAGTCTTTTTATTCCTCATAAAAGCATAGTTTGCGTTTTCATTTTCTTGCCTTCCGTTTATTTATTTAATTTAAATCTTCGGTTATGGAAATTGACTTTCTCTGCATAAATTGGATAGAAATCATGCGTCCACTTGTTTTTTGTTTGTTTGTTTGTTATTTTTTTATCTGCGCGATTCATCGCTGCCCAAAGCAAAGTTTTATGTTTGGTTAAAATAAATTCTTATTTAGGTCGAAAGTATTACTTTAATTTTCTTCTCTAAGATGGTGTAACCTAGACATTACGGTAAGTTGACTGTACTTTTTTTCTGGAATTTAAAATTCAATTCAGATGATATAAAGTTGTTGTAGGCACGTGGTTATGTCTCCTAATTGTGGGAAGAATCATACTTCTGCTCTGGCCAACGTGGTTAAATGTATACGTTTTGAAACATCGAAGAGGGTTGAATAAGAGGGTTGAATAATTGTTTGTATAAGAAAATTGTTGCTACACAACAGAAACATGGTGTCCTTTTACGGAATGTGCAAATGCTCCCCCTTTCCTTTGCGATTAGATTAAAAAATGAGCTGTACTCTCCATGTTCCTGAAATCATTCTGACCCCCTTTGAAGTCTCAAAAGTATATGTTTAAGAAGGTTGGCTGGGAATGAAATCTTGATTATTTTCCCAGTATGACAGTGTTTAACTTTTGGTATGAAGATATTTCTTTGCGCACAACTTTAAGCAATACCTGCGTGGGTAAACATATTGGCCACCCTTAGCGGAAGAAGAAGAACAGATCAACATAAATATTCTTGAATTAAATGTCTGAATCCCATAGAAAATCGTAAAGTCAACTTGATGAAATCGAAGAGGACTTTGTCTAGATACCATGACATTAGAGAACCAAGTCAAACATATCGCTTTTGACCTAACCAAGGATTTTCATGAAACGTAAAACTCTGCCGTTATAGCCGTGAATCACCGCGTAAAAGAAACTATTTCAGTAACGCACGGAATTTTATATTCGCTAATCTATCCTTGTCAATAACCATTATCGAAGTTTTAAATAAATGTTTAAAAAATACAAAAACATTAAAACTTGAAATAATTTTGAGAAAAACTCTTTTGACTTGCATGTATGGCAGACTCGCAGAATTTATTTAAAGGAGCACGAGAAAATTGATTAGCTGGCAGTATCGTACCAAAAAAACTTCTTGGAAATAATCGTTGAATTTGGTGAGTTAATAACTCGAACTGAAGGCGGGGGAGCTTTCAGCTGGTGGTGACGTAGCATCAACTAAAATTACATTTTTTGCCAATTGAACATGGTGATAGAAATCTTAGGTACTCCTTTTTTCTCTTCATTCAATTTATCCTATCTTTATCCTATGTTCATCTTTCCTTTTTGTAGCATAACACAAATGACAGAACTTCAACTCCTTCTGCACGGAGACTTTTAAGGGTAACTTCATTAGCAGATGAATGGGGATCAGCAAAGGGCGGTTTGTCTACTCTGAGCAGAGAACTAGCAAAACATCTGGCACGTCAGCCTGATGTAGCAGTAACCCTTCTTCTTCCAAATTGTAGTGAAAAGGAGAAGCAGGAAGCTAACGACCACAATGTACATCTTGCTTTATCAGACGACATGACTGAATTTGGTCCTTCTGAAGATTTTGACATTGATGTTGTTGTAGGCCACGGTCAAAAGGTAGGAGCACCAGCTCAGGTCATAGCGGAACAACACAGCTGCAAACGAGTTCACGTTGTACACACTGCCAGTGAAGAGCTTGCAATGTTCAAGAAAAGAAAAAAAGCAGTATCGGAAGGTGAGGAAAAACATGATGCTGAAATAGACCTATGTAAGGAAGCTGATATTGTCGTGGCTATTGGACCAAAGCTTACGGAAGCTATCTCTGCCAGTCTGCGACCGTATGGTAAAGATCAAGACGTGCTAAATGTTACACCTGGAATTTTCCCAGAGTTCTTAAAGTTGAGTCAAGCCATTGAGGAAAGGGAAAAGTTCCGCATCTTAGTGTTTGGTCGTGGTGACTCGGATGTTTTTGAATTAAAGGGATACGATATAGCTGCTCAAGCTGTAGCAAGCTTAAAAGACAAAAGCTACCATCTCTTATTTGTCGGAGCACCAAAGGGGAACGAAGAGGAGGTAAAAGAGTACTTGGTTGACTGTGGCATTTCTCCCACCCAGCTAACTGTGCGAGGCTTTGTTAAGAGTCGCGAGAAACTGGAACAACTCTTTTGTGAGGTGGATCTGGCAATT